ATGACTGACCTATGACCTACACTGATAGTGTCATGTAGCAACACTTAGGAAACACACACTTAAGGGGATGTAGCTCAGTGGTAGAGCGCAAGCTTTGCATTTGTGATGTCCTGGGTTCAATCCCCACCATGACCGCTTTTATACCATCAAGCTTCTGAACTTCAACGTATTGATGCGTTCTCAATCATCCAGGTAAGTAAATCTCCGAAAGATGACTCTGTTCATCTGGACGTAATGTTTTCAGTGGGACAAACGTTTTGTCACTCATCCAAGTGACCAGCCCACCGAAGGAACAATGGGCTGGGAGGTCATGGGTTTCAGTCATTATGCAAATTGTAAAAAAAGTACTGCTGGTATTTACAATAAGAGTGCAATGACAAGACTCAGAGATCTGACCCCGTGGCATGTGTATTTCCACGAGTTTGTATTTGTGAAATGATTCGATTGCAAATGTTCCAAATGTCACAGACACTGTTGAGAGCGTTGGTGCAGTGACTCTAACAGCCACATCTCCTGATGTAAGACAGTATCAGCCAGTTGAAAGATATACTGTAAGAATATCTGCATCACATGTGACCTCTTAATCACCTTTATCTAAGTGTTCATTCCTGATAAAACGGTGATTGTAATAATAGATATATGATAATAGAGTCTCTCACACCTCTGCATTTTTTTATTTCACAGGTGAGTGTGATCCTAACTCTCATGGTTCCCTATAACCTGATCGATGTCTCGGCTCCTCTCATGGAGATGTTTGCTGTGCATGGCTTCATGTGGGGGAAGTACACTGTGGCTGTGGGCTCTATAGCTGGACTCACCGTCTCTCTGCTTGGCTCCCTGTTTCCGATGCCCAGGGTCATCTATGCTATGGCACGGGACGGACTGCTGTTCAGGTGAGGAGGTACATGAAAACACACAGCCAGCTTAAGGAGTTTTAATAAGAAATGTTTCTGTGTCTGTGTTTTAAGGTTTCTGTCTCACGTGACTGCACTCACACACACTCCCACGGTGGCGTGTGTGGTGTCGGGGAGCCTGGCGGCCGTCCTCGCTCTGCTGGTGAGCCTCAGGGACCTGATTGAGATGATGTCCATTGGCACCCTGCTGGCTTACACTCTGGTCAGCGTGTGCGTGCTGCTACTTCGCTATCAGCCTGACGAACAGACCGACACACATCAGTTTGAGTCTGAAGTTCAGGACATGGACGGCCTGAAGCACGAAGATGCCAAAGACGATCAGATCTTGAGCGAGAATGACGGGTCATCTTCTTACCACACCGGCAGGACGGAGGGGGAGGGAGATGACTCTGATTTTCATACAGGCCACCCCTCACTGCTGAAAAGGCTTCTGGGAGGTCATTACTACACCCTGCGGCTGCGTTTGGGAATGCCTGATGCGTCAGTTCGACCAACCCCAGCCACCGGCCGCATAGTGACCAGATGCACTCTCTCCCTCTTCTTCATGTCCTTCCTCCTCTGGTCTACCATCATATTTGGGGTTGAGCAGGGCACGGGTGCTGGGGCAGTGATTTCTGGACTGATGGCAACAATGATGGCAGGGTCATTAGCAAAGCTTTTGATTATGATCATACAGCAACCAGAGAGCACCAGGAGCCTGCCCTACATGGCACCATGTGTCCCCTTTGTCCCTGCAGCAGCCATATTGGTCAACAGTTACCTCATGCTTAAACTGTCTCCACTCACCTGGGCAAGGTTCACCATCTGGTGCCTCATAGGTGAGCTGAAACAATCTTGATAATAGAGTGTTGTAGATTTGAAATGGAGCATTAATCAGTAATTCAATGACAATCAGTTTATTTAAATATCGAGTTATATATTAAAAGGAGAAAACACCAGTTCTGCAGTTGCCTGCTCGGTCAGATAGGTGATAAAGCAGTCGTTTTGTTATCTGGTTGCTTGGTTGGCTGGTTAGTTGCATGACCTGTTGACTGATAGGTAAGTTGTTTGGTTGGCTGCTTGACTACTTGCTTGGTTTATTCGTTGCTTGGTTGGCTAGCTTTTTGATTCGCTGGTTGGGTACTTTGGTTGCTCTGATGCTTGGTACAAACGTTTTTAAGATGCAATAAGCCCGACAAAGGAGAGAGAAAATGCTTTACATGTGAGGTATCCAGGATTTTGTAAGAGCTTTGTAATTCTCTTCATATGGAATTCATAAAGGTTGACAATCCTACACAAACTGATCTCTGTACCTACTGACCCACCCTCTACTGCATATCCATCCTCAGGTCTGTTGATCTACATTTGTTATGGAGTGTGGCACAGCACGCTGGAGCTGAATGCTCGGGAGCAGCAGGCACATGCCAGTTCCTATCAGCGCTATGACGACCACTTGGATGACACCGTCTCCCCCGGTGACGACCTTTACACCCAGGAGCAGGACGAGAGACCGTATCAGGGGTGGTCTGCACCCGAGGAGAGAGGATACCACTACCAGCAGGGAAATCAACACGAGATCCAATACGAGGACCAAGAGAGCGGAGAGCAGGAGCAGAGCCAGTATGAAGATAATGGGGACCAGTGTGGATACCAGTCTGGAGCAGGAGGCCAGTATATGGAGACAGGCAGTAGGTCCAAGGGAAGGACCAATTATGGGTTTAATGATGAAGAGGAGAACTGAGTAATATGAAAGAGTGAATAAAACGTACATATGAGGCAATATTTTAATGTTTGTGGAAGCTTTTATGAAAACTGGGATCAGATATCAGCAGAGGAAGGAGGGCACTGAGAGAAGCCAACAGCAGATGCAGAAGCTTCAAAACAGTCTAACCTGTTTGGGTCGAAAGCAACTGGACTTCTTTACTCCAGCTTCTGCAACCTTTTGGACGAGAAGTGAAATGTGTTTGAGAACTTAAAAGAAGTCCAGCTGCCTTTGAAGATCTACCTGTATGAGCACGAATGTACACAAACACCCACCTGCCTCTGACAACCTGACAGTGACAGCAACCGTTAATGAAACAAGTTGGACTTGTGTGAGAAGAAGTGTTGTTACAAAACAAACCTGCCTTAATCTTACTTTATTCTTTTTCTATTCTTTAAATAAATAAAATGGTAAATGGCCTGTATTTATATAGCGCTTTACTAGTCCCTAAGGACCCCAAAGCGCTTTACACATCCAGTCATCCACCCATTCACACACTGGTGATGGCAAGCTACTAAAGTAGTGCTCAGCCGAGGTTCAAAAGAATCCAGACTGTGTAGACGCCCATCTGTTGTTTAAATCAAGACGAACTGAGCATGCTTGAGTGAGATGCTTATCTTTTTAAAGTTAATTTCCTGTTATTTTTAACAGGCACAAGCACCGATACTATATAAAGCATTTTTATTAGCACTACTCATGTGCTGCATGTCTTCAGGCTAACGTTTTAGACACCAAAAGGCTTATGACCTTAAGATCAGGACCTTTCCATAGTGACTAATCCCAACCATACCCAAACATGTTAATGACTAACCTCGTGTGATGATGGATCATCTTAGATGTTCTCTTAACTGAAGTTTGGTCTTTTTTTAGCATCTTCTTCGAGCTGTATGAAGGCATTTTCTCTGCCAATCAGGCCAACATGAACTTTTACTGAGAACAGTTTAACCCTTATTGTCCATCTTCCCAGTGCTGATGTGTTTATATTAACCTAACCATAGCTTTGTAGACAGCCACCAGTTAGTACATCATCATGTCTCAATTTGTCCCAAAGAATTTGGACTAATTACCATACAGCATTTGCTCTGAACCAAGCTCATATTAAATGTTTATACTTTTTGTGCCTAAAGGTCACTCAGGCCACTTGCACGTGGTTCTTTGCAGACTCAGTATCACTGCTTCCTTTTGCACATTCAGGTCTTCGTTGTCTTCTTTTCTGCTTCCCATAGCCGTTCACACAAGTCTGTTCAGAGACAGTGAACAGCACACGCTGGTTTAGCTTTTCCTCTGGTTTTGTTTGAGTTCTTTGTTTACGCTCTTTAATTGTTTTGGGGTGAATGGTGTTATTCAGTGTCTGTTGTGGAAAGTGCAGAAATAAAGAGAATTTGAAGCAGCAGTTTGTCTAATCGGGGTTTTATTGCGGCTTCTCTCACAGATAGAAGACGCTGAAGTGTTATCATTCCAAATTTAAAGGAGCTGTGTGAGCCGTCAATGGCAACTGCGGTAATTATTGTGTTCCTAGCATCAGCCAAAGGCTAGGATAAGTAGAGGTGAGTGGATCAATCCAAATATCCACAGTGTTAAGTGGTCATTGAAATGTGTTCAGAATTTGCAAATTAACAGTGAGTCATATAAACCTCTCTGCCCCACATAAGCTGCCTTTATAGGTCAATAGTATCAGTACTGGCTCTGTATTTACTTGGTATCGGATCAATACCAAACTTTACAGTATCACACAGCACTAGTGACGAGACAAAGCCTGTCGTGCTCTGATGTACGTAGTTTGCGGTTAATCTGTGCTAGCTTTGCCTCATTTTAGCCAGAAGAGGCTAAACTCTGATGATCTGATACCTACTGTAGAAGAAGACAAACAAAAAATCGTATTTGAAATGGATTCATATCAAATGGAAAACATACAGAAATAATATTCAGTAAAACATAAATTTAAGAAAGCATGAATCTTAATTTAAATGTGTATGGGTGTTTTCAGAGAGCCCAAGAGATTTTAAAGCCTTTTTTCTAAACACAGACAAGAATTTAACCATGTGGGTATGCAGATGATTTATTTTGATTATGCTGTTAACATAAAAGTAAAAAGAAATGATAAAAAAAGTGACAGCCGACTGTGGGGGATTAAATATGAGCTGCAATTTAAAAGTATCATAAACACTAAAGCGACCATGAAAACAACAGTTTGCTATTTATAATGTGAAAACAAAGAGCCGCTGACAACGATTAACTTAGATGGTCACAGCCGGTCAAACAGGGGGACTGTCCTTCCTGACTGAGTAGCTGAAGATGTGAAATATGTATTTATACATGTACAGCAAATGAAATTGCTGCAAACCATGGTTACACGAACCATGTTCGTGTGGTTAATTCTACTGACAGACCAATCACAGTCATGACCTCGGGGGCTGGTCATGTGATTGGTTTAGAAACAGTATATTTGAGTTTGTTTAGTTTTTTCCTGTAATGCCAGAGTTTGAAGTTGAGATTGTTTTGTGTAAATTGGATTTGTGTATTCCTGTTTTGACTGATTGTTCTTTCTTCCATCGTGTTACTTTGTATCATTCAGTGAGAGCTTTGTTGTCTCAGTTTTTTTATTTCCTTTTGTACTTTGTGCCTTGGTTTGAGTTTTACTTTCCCACCTTTTGAATATGTCTTGATTGCTTTAACCTGTGTCGTGTTTACCAGCTTTTCTCAGTCTCCAGTTAGTCCTCAGTGTGGGTCTGCCCTGAGTGTTTGTCTTACATTGTTGTGTTTTGATGCTACTTGTTTTGCTCGTCTTCCTGGCTTTCTATCCCGTTCTTGTTTTTTCATTCAGTATAATAAAACTTTGTCTTTTTTTTTTGTTGCTATTCTGAGATATTTTTGGGACATACACAGATTCTCCAGACTTCCCTAGATTGAGGCCAAAAGATTTTCTGAATGTGAGCTTATTATTAATCCCTCCATTTCCTGCTAACATTCATTTTCATGGTGGATTTTAGTCTTGAAGCAGTAAACAGATAATGGCATGTGTCATCGATGGTGAATATGACTTTAAACTCAAAGAAAACTTGGTTAAAAATAGAGCGCCTGGTTCCTTCACACCCGGGCGCTCTTGGCGTGGTTGGCGGGGGGGTCGAGGAGCGTGGCCGTCCCCCTGTTCCCAGAGTAGTAGAAGCTGTCGTCCCTACTCGGGGTCCCGGGGTCGATGCCCTGGCAGCACAAGATGATGATGCCACCTAGGAGGCAGAGGGCGGAGCCGACCCAGCCGGAGTACAGAGAGAAGCCGAATGACATCAGATTTTCCTCTTTATTAGCGCCGATGGGGAACCAGACGGTAGATATGATGCTGCACACAGCTGGGTTTCAGACATATTTAAACACAAAAGGTGAAAAACAGGGAAAAGAAGAGGTTATAATTTTGTGCTCGGTGCCTCCATCTGTCTGGCTGTCATCCCTGAGTTTGTGGACAGGAACTACCTGTCTTATCTCACAGGAAGCAAAACAGCCTGACAGATCCTGACCCATCATCCTCCTTCCTGCAACAGCTGGGAATGACTCGGGGAAGACCAGCGCTCTATACAACATGCCACATTCACCCACTCTAAACTGAATGCTGTCTAACCAAATTCATACTGCGACAGATGCGTCGGAGAGTAACTTAGGGTTAGTATCTTGCCCAAAGATACTTGCCATGCAGACTGGAGGAGGCAGGGATTGAACCTCCGACCTCCCGATCAGTAGGTGACCAGCGCTACGTCCTGAGCTACAGCCACACGAAGTTCACTGCAGTAAGAGAAAGTCTCTTAAAACGAGAAACTGCCCTCAGAAATCAAATCTGTCCTCTGAAACTGTCCCAAAAAGGTTATTTGAGCACACAAATACAGTGGGGCAAAAAAGTATTTAGTCAGCCACCGATTGTGCAAGTTCCCCCACTTAAAATGATGACAGAGGTCAGTAATTTGCACCAGAGGTACACTTCAACTGTGAGAGACAGAATGTGAAAAAAAATCCATGAATCCACATGGTAGGATTTGTAAAGAATTTATTCGTAAATCAGGGTGGAAAATAAGTATTTGGTCACCTCAAACAAGGAAAATCTCTGGCTCTCTCAGACCTGTAACGTCTTCTGTAAGAAGCTTTTCTGTCCCCCACTCGTTACCTGTATGAATGGCACCTGTTTGAACTCATCATCTGTATAAAAGACACCTGTCCACAGCCTCAAACAGTCAGACTCCAAACTCCGCCATGGCCAAGACCAAAGAGCTTTCGAAGGACACCAGGAAAAGTATTGTAGACCTGCACCAGACTGGGAAGAGTGAATCTACAATAGGCAAGCAGCTTGGTGTGAAAAAAATCAACTGTGGGAGCAATCATCAGAAAATGGAAGACATACAAGACCACTGATAATCTCCCTCGATCTGGGGCTCCACGCAAGATCTCATCCCGTGGGGTCAAAATGATCATGAGAACGGTGAGCAAAGATCCCAGAACCACACGGGGGGACCTGGTGAATGACCTGCAGAGAGCTGGGACCAAAGTAACAAAGGTCACCATCAGTAACACACTACAACGGCAGGGAATCAAATCCCGCAGTGCCAGACGTGTTCCGCTGCTGAAGCCAGTGCATGTCCAGGCCCGTCTGAAGTTTGCCACAGAGCACATGGATGATACAGCAGAGGATTGGGAGAATGTCATGTGGTCAGATGAAACCAAAGTAGAACTTTTTGGTATAAACTCAACTCGTCGTGTTTGGAGGAAGAAGAATACTGAGTTGCATCCCAAGAACACCATACCTACTGTGAAGCATGGGGGTGGAAACATCATGCTATGGGGCTGTTTTTCTGCCAAGGGGACAGGACGACTGATCCGTGTTAAGGACAGAATGAATGGGGCCATGTATCGTGAGATTTTGAGCCAAAACCTCCTTCCATCAGTGAGAACTTTGAAGATGAAACGAGGCTGGGTCTTCCAACATGACAATGATCCAAAACACACCGCCCGGGCAACAAAGGAGTGGCTCCGTAAGAAGCATTTGAAAGTCCTGGAGTGGCCTAGCCAGTCTCCAGACCTCAACCCCATAGAAAATCTGTGGCGGGAGTTGAAAGTCCGTGTTGCTCGGCGACAGCCCCAAAACATCACTGCTCTCGAGAAGATCTGCATGGAGGAATGGGCCAAAATACCAGCTACTGTGTGTTCAAACCTGGTAAAGACCTATAGTAAACGTTTGACCTCTGTTATTGCCAACAAAGGTTATGTTACAAAGTATTGAGTTGTATTTTTGTTATTGACCAAATACTTATTTGCCACCCTGATTTACCAATAAATTCTTTACAAATCCTACCATGTGGATTCATGGATTTTTCTTTCACATTCTGTCTCTCACAGTTGAAGTGTACCTCTGGTGCAAATTACTGACCTGTGTCATCATTTTAAGTTGGGGAACTTGCACAATCGGTGGCTGACTAAATACTTTTTTGCCCCACTGTACATCCCTCTAAAATTAAAACTACAAAATATGTAACACATGTCCTCAACAAACTGCACACTCAGTACTGTGTACTCACAGTGTGCTGACCTCTACACTCTTATCTGAAATCAAAAACATAACAAATCAAATCTGCAGTCTGTCAAATCAAACTCATTCCTCAGATTTATCAATGGCACTGCTATTAAAGCAACATTTCATTAATAAGAGCTGGTTGAATTCTTTGAATACCAAAGAGAGCACCTTCATTGGGTCCTTTACTACCTCCTTATTCTGGATTTTGGTTCTCATCTATCCAGCTTTTATAAAACAAAATGGTCAGAACACATGAAACAAAGTGTCTGAGATTTGCATTTTTCAGTCATCAGCCACTCCTTTAAGTAATCAGATTCTCTGACAGTCTTTTCCCTGAATCTCCTCCACACGTTCCTTCATGATGTCAAGGAAAAGTGACGAGGAAAAGATCTTTTGGACTAATAAACTGCAAACACTGAAAGTCAGTGTAAGTGAAATTTCTCTTTACTTCACTGACAAAAGCTAAAACATTAAACTCAACTAGTGTTTTTGGTAAGTGTTAGTAAAGTAGTAGTTATAATCAAACTGATATAAACACAACTGTGTGTGTGTGTGTGTGTGTGTGTGTGTGTGTGTGCGGCCTCCTCACCCATAAAGATGACGAGGACGCCTCCCACTCGGGCGCGGCGCTTCTTCACAGCTGAGGTGTCGTTCTGCAGCCGCACGCAGGCCATGGACATGAGGATCAGGAGCGTGGCGGGGAGACCCAGCAAACAGGCGCAGATCATCAGAGCACGAGCTGTCTGGACGTAGGCTGAGAGGCAGAGAGAGCATCTGTTTGGTTTAACGTTCTCAGCACAGCTCACCTCTGGCACTCAACAAGGCGCTGCTCACATTAGGAATGTGCACACGTGTTGCATGCACCGAAGACAAGAAAAAGATGCAAGAAAAAGCCAGATTACTTTACTCAGAAAGTAATGTCTAATCTTGCTCTGAGTTACAGTCAAACACAGTCTGACGTCACTCTTCATGTCTTCACTGAACACACAGAGAATAAATCCAACGTAATAAAACACTGGTGTTAATGATTTCTCCAAAAGCTCATGAGAGACAAACCCCACTAGGTTTTAAACACCTGGGACTCTCAGGCTTCTGGTTTAGAACTGAAGAGGCTGCTTAAAGCACGCAAAGAAGCCCAGTCATTTTTCTGTCAAGCTGTTAAGATCTACAGAAATCTCAACAACTGTGCAAAAGACCACCAGAAGAAAGCTCAACCTTTGGCAGGCTTCTCTGAGTTAGCTGGGTCTGTTAACTGGAACCACCTGTCAGAGATGACTGGTATCAGCTTTCTTTGTTAATCCAGGCTAAACGATGACTCGCCCAAAGTGCACATCTAGATAAAAATCAGTCAGCGGGGACAAGGAGGAGAAATAGTCTGTGGCCACCACCTGCTAAACCATTCCTATTTCGGGTTTGTTGTCTCTCCACCTGCTGCACTTTACTTTTGCACTAAGTGGGTGAGATGGATGCCCAGTGCTTTATGCTTCCTAACAACATAGATCAAAATCCCCGAAGTTTAACTGACTGTGTTATATTCTGACGGCCGAGTGTCGTCCTATGTTTTTGAGTAGTGAACAAAAGGCTGATAAATTCCTTTAATTATGTTATGCACTGTTTGGTAAACGTGCAGAAGGTTTGTTTGGTAGTAAACAAATTAAAAGCTCAAAAAGTGGAAAAATTGGCTTTTACATTGTTGTTTATAGTTTGATATGAAACGTGTGAAATTAATAGTCAGTATTTATAATACTGAGCACGAGAATAGAACTATACTCCTATAAACAGAGGACTGAGTAAACATTATTGAAATATGATGAACAATGTTTTACACCATAAAGCAGTTTAATTTAAAGAGTTTAAATAACCAGTTATATTTGTTTCTTTAAATAAAGCTTATAAGTTACCATAGTTTCCACAAGTGTTTGTTCTACACTTCCCATCCTTCCTTTCACAATAAAAGTTATTGAGTACGAGCATAAATTGTGTGATTGCTGTATATCAAAGTGGTCTGTAGAAGTGTGTCAAAGCAGTTTATGATCGATTATAGCTTCAAAATAAATATAAATATAAAAAATTAAATTCATATTAAAATGATATTTGACTGATGTTCTTATAAAAGGTAAGACTTATTTACAACATCTTCACAATTTAAAAGGAAATTCTGTCTCTCCTCATTAAATAAACTCTGCTATAAAGTAAGTAAGTACCTAAATGTTCTGATGCTCAAACAAAAACAGCAAAGTTTCTCACAAACGCTGTGAAAAACTGTATTTGTTCATTTTTTATTTGTATTCTGATGAACGAGACTGTTCGATAAACATATTGAATAAACTGTAAAAAGAAAAAATCTCGTTACGAATATATTTTGTTGGTGAACAACAATGCCGGTTTAAATACATGTGTCGATAACTTAATGTTAATAACGTGAAATAACCATTAATATTTAACTGTAATAAATTCAACTCTAAATATAAAGCGTAAACTGTTTTGTTGACACGCAGCCACTCTGCTCACTCGCTGCCTCCCGCAGACCCACGCAGCAAACGTGAGCTAAACACACTTGAAAGATCTCGTCACGCACATCATGTATTAGAGCATTTATTGGCGCATCTCACCGGGCAGTGTGAGGATCTGGGTGAGGCCCACGCAGTGGTGAAGGGACGGGGAGATGACGCACTCTGCCCACAGGCCTCGGGAGCTCAGCTCGTCCATGCGGACGCAGGTGGCCTTGGTGTAGTCGCAGGTCCGGACCCAGTCGTTGGTGGCCGTGGCCACGATCACCCCCACCCAGCCCACTCCGCTGGCCGCGGTGCCAAGGAGTTGCCTGCGCATCTGTGACATGGTGAGCACCGTGCGTCTTTAAGCGCCCCAAAAGAGAAAGATAAAGAAATTCAGCCTGTTTTTAAATTCAGAAACGTGGCAGCTTCTTGAGAGCTTTCCTCTTTTTTTAACGTCTGCGGGAGTTTAAAAAGTTTAAAAATGAAAAATTTTATAGGCCAAAGACTCAAAAAGAGCTTAAAAGCGGATAAATGACTGTGTTATTGTCTAATAAGCAACAAAAAACACCGGAAAACAAAAACCACTGGAATAAAGCAAAAACTGATATATATTCAGAAATAACTGCAGACAGTTTTTCTCTGAGTTGGAGCTTTAAACAACGTTTAAAAAGCTTAAAAGTCTAAATTTAAAAGCAGTCCTGTTCCGTCAGTGCGCCTGAAGCTGATCCACGAGAAAAATGCCCAGAATAAGATTTATCACAGGGTGTGGTGGAAACCGTACTCCTCTCCAAAGCCAATGGGAGCACATGTGAGATCCTAACCTAAACCAGATACGGGGAGAAAGGCAGGCTCAGGCAGAAAAACAAGCATCACCTAAAGCCTTCCTGATGAAGCTAAATCAGTTTAGCTCATAAAGTCCAGAGTTGTCCTCATGTGTCACTCACCTGCACCTCTGTTGCCCTCTGCTGGTGGTCCCGCCATCCCATCAGCAGCACTTCTGCCGAAATCTGCTCAGGTCCACTCAGTTTGGGACATCAGCAGAAATGTTCAGTGAATAAGACGTCTTAAAGTAAAGCTTAAAGTATATGGAAGTTCTCAGGTGCTTTATTAAAAACATTAAAAATATTAATATTAATATTTCAAATCTAAACAAAAAAGTTGTCGTTATTCACACCAGTTGATTAAAAATAAGGATTCACAACTAAATATTAGAAAAAAAAACCTTTTTTATTATCATTTTAAACCAATCATTTGATGAAGGTGATTTTCAGCCTGGGTTTGCATTTCCTGGATGACAGGACGGTTTCCCAGTAAAGAATGAAATATATAAAATATATAAAATATTAAAGTTTCCAAACCTCAAAATCATTTAAAACCTTAACATCTGACTGAAAACGATTTCTGTGTTTGTTCTGTTCTCAGCCAACGCGGCGCCACCATCCTTCAGTAATGTTGAGGTCTGGACTCTGGGGAGGCCAATCCATGACTGATGGTTCCACTGTGTGTTTTTCTGTCCAATATAATACAGCACTTGATTGATCTCTATTACTATTGTTATTTATTTTTATTTTACTTTAAGTTATTACAAATTGAACAGAAAGAAAGACTCTGAGAGAATCTGTTGAATCAGCTGTTAAAAGAAGAAAGAAAACAAACAATAGAACAGAATACAGAGATCAAAGCAGCGACCTAGATACGTGTAAGTAACAGTAACTACTGAATACTGAATGCTATTGAGCAGCACACAAGACCGACAGCGCACGATATGCTTCAAGGTAGAAGCCGAGGAAGATATAGTTTGTGTCTGTGATCATCCGTGTGCGTGAACGCGCCTGAGTTCAAAAGGTTTCTCCATGTAACGATCTGCTGGAGGCTGTGGGGAGCCATAGCCCCGCCCCCCAGAGCATGAAGCGCTAAAAGTGCTTCTTGATAGTCGTCTCGTCTCTCAGATGTTGTCCATCTGCTGAGGATAGTTTTAGGACCGCTCTAAGCCTCTAAGTCTAAGTTAACCCCAGAGCCCCGCTTCTACACCTGCAGCAGCCAGGTTGTAGGCACTGGGGTAAACTGCACTACGGGGGATCCCAGAACCTCTCAATCGCTCCACACCCCGACAAAGTGGGTCTGATAACCACTACACTGTGAAACTGTGCCAACTTTAACTTTAGCATTTTATGCATCCATGAAACCAGGAGGCGGCCCGACGTTTGCTCCTCAGTGGAACATCTGCTCCACGTGTCTGAAGTGTTTATGCACATTTTTGTTAGAAAGCCCGCTTTCACTGGGCTAGTAAAAGGTCTTTTACTTGGGAATTAATTTAAAACAAGATAAATAAATCGTTTGATGATCAATTATTCATTTATTAAATAATTTCAAGCAGGATACCATAAAAATGTGACGATTGAAGACACCAGCCTCTACCCTGATAGTGACTTTTTTAATACACAGACATGTCTTTGTCCAGAATATAGTGATATAAAACATTAAACTTTCATTAATCACTTACAAAGTCTACGCATTATTGTTTTTTCCTTTTACACACACGGGTTATGTTTAGCTACTGGATAGATTTGTTGCTGACGTCACGTTCTAAAAAAACTAAATAGACAAATTTTATATATTAAATGTTCAAAATCCTTCATCAAATAGCTTCAAATGTACACTCTCCAGCGGCATGTAAAATATACACAAAGTTACAAAACCCCCCCGTCTCCTGCTACAGTCGGAGGGCCCAAAACTGGTGAGACTTCTCATGGACTCTGGTGTCGTCATGCTCCCGCACTCCTCTCCAGCTCCCATCTGCTAAGGCCACGCCTAGATTTATAATCTCATGAATTATAAATTCCCACAAATCTCTTTTTGTGACTTTGCTCTGTCATCCTTGGTGTCAGCTTTTGACTTCCGCCGACTTCTCTCGTTTCCTCGCGTCTTTATTGCCTTTTTTCCCTCTTCCTTTTTAAACGCTTTCTCTTTTTCTCACGTTGTTTCTCTTTTTCTTTGTCTCTCATTGGTTTTTCAGTGCGTTGATGTGAGCGCAGATCTTCAGAGCAGGTCCCAGTTTTATGTTCATGCTGGTCATCAGATGGTCCTCGGTGAGCAGCAGCAGAGCCTGGCCGTCGATCTCCTGCACCCGGAAAGCCTCCGCTACGTCACTGCAGCCTGAAACAGCAACGCGGAGAGTTTAAAAACACTGACGGTGTCTGACTGAGCAAATGATTCTGTTCAGTCACACAGAAAGTAGCCATGGCCCTGACTTTAGTCACGTATAACGATCTAAACTCTTGACTTTTAATAAAAACACCTCCAAACTCCTGCAAAGTTTAGTCTGTGGGGATTGACTCTGTTTTGGAGCCTCGAGTGGACATTAGAGGAACTGCAGTTTTCCCCTTTCACTGTTGCTGCTGTCCTTCTGTCACAAGTCACTCCTCTGCTGTTTTTATATTAAGAGCTTTTGGTGTTTTCATTCATCAGTATTTTGGTGTACAATATTCTTATCATCCTCTTGATGAAGCACACCCCTGATGCACTCATGTCGTCCACAGCTTCCTTGTTTATTGTCCATGCTACGCGAGGATAGCTGTAACAACGACATCTAGGACTAGGATTAGGTATTACATGGTACTGATGGTACTTTACTGTGTTCAAATCCTTTAAAGACACACTGCACACTGTGCTGAGATATGCTAATTTTGGCTAATATCACTTTGTTTGTGCAGAAAAGCTATTTAATGCATTCAAACGTGTCAACTTTGGGATTATTTTGTAGATTTAACTAAAGAAGTGGGAACACGTGATGTGTTTGTATGACTTTTTGTGGCTAATAAAAAAATAAAGACACCATTTCAAATTAGATTTTGGTGGCTTTCCTGTGAACACATTTTTTTAAAGGTTCATAAACTCGACAATTAAATGATTGGTTGGTGGTTTTTAGGCCACATGATGAAATAATGTGATGCAGGTTCTGATAAGAACCTTCAGCAGCCCAAGTTCTACCTGAGCCCTTGTTTGGTTCCTCAAATCCTGATCGTGTGGGAGGAGTTTGTGGACAAACGACCCAACAAACAAAGATTTGGTTTGTTACAGTAACATGTTTCACACTGTTCATCCAGGATCGTTAGCCAGCAATCAGTTTATCCACTTTATTTCTAACAGAAACTAATCTGGAGAATGTTTCGACCAGAAGAGATCTGCATAACTCTAAGATCCACAGCTGATCTTCTCTTAGAAATAAAGTGACAGTGATGACTATTAAAGGCAGCTAACAGTGTTTACTACAGAATCATCTGTCTCATGTGAAACAGAGGTTCAGTTTCTCTCCCAGATGTTTCACAGCAGTCTCGCTGAGTCTGACGGTGTGTGGTTGGAAGTATTCTTCACATTACTTCACTCAGCAGTTAATTTCAGCATTTTGCGAAACCTTTAATGGGACTTGGGGGATACGAAGAAGCTGTGAGCGCGCCTCCGTCGCCTGCTGACAATTAAGACACGGAGTGTGGCGTAAATCAAACCGACGGTTCTGAGTTAAAGGTCCCGGGAGAAGCTCTACGTGTGGGGCATCGGCTCATGTTTACCTGGCAGCGTGTGGATGAAGGCGGTGACTTCCTCCACGCTCCACTGCGAGGGGGCTGGCTTAAACGTGGTGGTAGGCGTGGAAGTGGTCACGGCCGGCGCCGACGCCCTCCTCGCTCTCCGAGCCGCCCGACGCTCCATCCTAGCCGTCATGGCGACAGCGGGATCTTCCTCTCCTCCGTCATCGTCTTCCTCCTCCCTGCCTCCACCTCCCACCATATCGTCTTCATCTTCGTCCTCTTCTGCCGCCGCCGCTTTTTCTTTTCCATCTTTCTCCCGCTGACCGGCGCTCCACAGATCACGAGGCTGAAAGGAAACAAAGCGTGTAAGAAATGTAAAAGCCAGGAAACGTCCCGCCTGATATCAGCAGTTCAGGGGCTGCTGGGGTGATAGTGTGGGGCCCTGCAGCACCAGCGCAGCATCATTTAAACCCCACACTCCACCTCAATCATCTCAAACTGGTTACTTGTATATGACTCCACAGTCACCAGCTCTCACTCCAGCAGAGAACACGTGGGATGTGGTGGAGCGATAAATATGTAGAAACTGTGTGATGCTATCATGTCGACATGGACGAACACCTCAGAGGAATCTGTGAGTTATGAGAAAGTTCTCGACTCAAACGCAGTTCCAACTCAGTACAAGGACGGTGTCACTGAATAAAGTGGCTGCTGGCTGCATAGAACTTAAAACTGAGCGTCTGTTTTCTGTCTGTCGGTGGAGCTTCCTGATTTCTCGGCTCTCTGCTGCCCTCTAAAGGCCGTCGGCTGTCACTGAACCACAGATGAACCACAGATGGCTTCAAATGGCTCATTTCATAAGACCAAGTCTAAAATCCACTGCACACGACTAACTGAGCTAATGTAGTTTTACACTACTAAGTATTTTTAATTCATGTGTTTGTTTCAGTTTAGTTTCAGTGTTTTTTAGTTTTTCTGGGACGAAATTTAAAAAGTTTACAAAAGATATGAAGCTACAAACGCAGAGTGGCGTTTTTGTAGGAACGTAACCCATCAAATAAACATCACAAAGATCAATAAAAGCATAAAAATGTGTTTAATATTTGGAAAATCAGCCTCCTGTAATACAGCCGGTGCATGTGTACGGTCACATTCGGCTCGTGGAGGACTTCAGGAGCTCTAACTTCATTTTCAGAGTGTGGCTCTTTAAAACATCTCAGCACTTCTCTGTTTGCTGTTTTTAAGCTGTTGGCGAGTTCAGCGTCCCTACCAGCCGCAGCAGCAGGGGTTTCCCAGGGACTGACTCCGCCCGGTTGAGGGCAGGACGAGGCTTCTCTGACCGGCTTCCTGCGCTGAGAGCTCGCAGACGCTTCGTCAGTCGAACGTTAAACCTGAGGGGGGAGGAGGAAGGGGAGAAGCACAGAGACACGTGGTGATGTTTCCTCATTCTGCTGCTTTCATTCACACTCGTATCTGCATCTGACACCTGCGCGCCTCCACGCAGGCCACACACACCACATCCTGTCACGCTGCTGCTGCGACAGCAGCACCCCTACGCTGTGTAAAGGTCCCGTGACATCACAGCTGCCCTCTTTAGCGCTTAAGCCAATGAAGCGAGGCCTTACCCGCGTGCACAGGAAGTGGAGCAGAAGCGTTTGGAGCGCATGAAGTTGTGTGCGTGGCCCCTCTTCCCGCAGAACTGGCAGTGCAGCACCGTTCGGTCTCTGTGGCCCGACCCTGTGAGAGGGACACAGTGGAGGTGAAGCTGAGAAACACAGAGTCTAACGTGGTTCCCACTGCTAGTTTAGAAGACTAACAGCTCCCACATTTACCACATCAGCAGCAGAGTGACAGACGTGAGCAGAGCAGGATTCGGGCATGTGTGGGGTAAACGTCAGGTTTACCGCCGAGTTTTCAGGGTATTAAAAGTGGTTGACTTCTTAGACGTCTCACACACACTTTCACTGCACAGTCCCAGGGCTGCTCTCAGCTTGTATTTAGTGTTTAGCCTGTTCATGTGTTGAATGAGCCCCAGTGCTGCAGGTGCAGAACATGACGGGACAGGTTTACAGTGGTGGGCAGAGGCTGTGCCACAATGCAGGAACTCCGGTTTGGTTCACTGTTAGAGCCTGCGGACCAATCGCTGCGTCAAGACAAGAAATAGAAGATCTCTCACCGTTTTTAGAGAACATGCAAAGACTTTGTCCTTGTTTGGTGTGCAGCCACGAGAAACCCTTTTTATATATTTTCTTTAAGCCTAATTGATTTTCCTTTAATATTAAACTTACTAATCTTATATAAAAACTGCAAGAATTATGTTTTTATTCTTGCTTCAATCAGGTCCGTTTTAAGCTCTGCTCTCATTTAAAGTCTCACAGCTGCAGGGAAAATGCATCACCTGCTTCTGTTTTGAGTTTTCTGGGATGAATCTTTGTTGTTGATTTGGTGACAGTATGACGTGGGTGCGGCTGGTCTATTCTGCAGCTCTTACCAACAGTACTTTCATGCATCGAGACTTCAGAGCAGATAAACGAGCAGATGTGAAGTTTAAAAGTTAAACTGCTCCTTACTGCTCCCAGGGTCGTCCGTGTCTCCTCCTTCCTCTTCGTCCGAGTCTGTGGAGTGCTCAGTTTGTTTTATCGTTTCCGTTACAGGCAGCGCCGCTTTCCCATTGGTCCCATTCACTTCCTGCGGTTTGGGCACCTGCACTGGAACCAGCAGGGATGAGCGGTTCACCTGGACCACAGAAATAAGGTGAGTATAAATGCACCGCCTGTGGCTGAAAAGGTAATCGCAGTAAGGAGGGAATCCGTTTACATCCACCCAGAACTTATTCTACGTTCATACATGAGAAAGGCTTTGAGTTTTTTCCCCTTTTAGTAACAAAATTGTAATATTTGCCGTCTCTAAGAAAGGGAAACCCAAGAAAAGGTGATAAACTGTAAAACCCAGATTGAACTGTCAGCTGAGCCACAATTTATTTAGGAAATGCTTAAATAAGCCTGAGGAGATTAAACACCAACTTATTTCACACTAAAAGCATCAAAACCTAAAATTCTAACTTCATTTTTTCTGCCTTTGTGATGTAAAACAAACGTCTCCTTACAGGAAACGGTTGGAGCCCCTCCTGGATGACAAATCCCTCCACCAGGTGGGTGAGAACCTGCCGTCCCTCAGGCCACGGCCTTGGCTCCCAGGGGCTGCTCAGTGATTGGCTGAAGCTCTCTGACTCGTCCTCCAATTGTCCGAGAGGCTCTGCCTCAGTTTCCGTGGGGGGCTGCTGCTCGCCACCTGCTTTGTCCACCTTCGCTGGCTCATGCTGCGGTAGGCTGAGGTCAGTCGGGAGGGCGGTGTGCGCCGGGAGGAGAGGAGGAGGGTTTTCTGCCGAAGGAGTGGTGATGGGTGAGGAGGGGGGAGACTGAGAGGAGAGGCTGGACAGCGCTGTGAGGAGCAGAGAAAGAAAAAAGAGTTGACTGAAAATTAAAAGGAACATGTTTTGAAAAAAGTATTGATTGCATGAAGTTACAGCCGAAAACAAAGCAGGACACTAAAGTTCACCAGTGAGCAGCAGGTAGCAGCGAGCCTTTACTGCACCAGACGTCCCGTGAAGACAGTTTGCTCAACAGCTCAATTGCTTTGTAGCCTGAAGCATCAGAAGCTGCTGCTGGCTGCACACTGTGCACGACCATGTGTGCTTCTCCAGGACGAGCGGAGCAATAACAACTAATCATGTGGACCCTTTAAGGGAGCACAGCTCGGACAGATGAAGCTGTGGAAAACGCTTTAATGCAAAGCCTCGTGTAAACACACAGATATGAGCACTAAGTGTTGCTGCGTCTGAGCTGTTCACGGTACCTGACTGATTGTCGGACTGGGTCGACATGTTCTCACAGAAGTCCTCCTGGCTGACGGGCTGAAGGTCTTTCTGAGGCTCTGGCAGCCTCTGACTCTGGGCAGAGGCTTCGGGGGCTGGAGCTGGCTCTGGTACCGGGACTGGTGCTGGAGTTTGGACTGGAAGTGGAGTTGAAATGAGACCCGTGATGGGTTTTGAGTCCACAGTGGAGTCTTTAACAGGATCAGGCTCCGGGATAGGGTCCGTGTTGTGGTACTGATGGGGAAGCTGTGCCGTCTGGTTCTCAGACTGGTCCATTGGAGTCTCTCCTTCCTCTTCCTCCTCCATCTTCTTGTCCTTGCCTTCCTCTCTCCTCTCTCTCTCACTTTGGCCTTCTTCTGTCACTTCCATTTGATCTTCCTCTCGGCTAACTTCCTGCACCTCCTGGCTGATTTGCTCCTCACTGGGCTCCTCCTCCTTCACCTTCTCTCTTTGGTCATCTTTCTCCACTCTCAGGTCTTTAGCAATGCTTTCCTCATCTTTGACTTCCTGTCTCACAGCTGCAGCTCTCTTTCTCTGCTCTTCAGCCTCCTTTACCTCCACCTTCTGGGTCAGATTTTGCGGCTGGGGCTCAGCTTGACTCTGTGGAGAGGCTGGACTCAGAAGGGATGGAGGTGAGGGCAGAGGAGAGGTGGTTTTTGGCAACGAGGGGTTTAAAGGAGGAGGAGGAGGAGGAGGAAGGACGTCTTCAGTGCTCAAAGTCCTCTTTGATTGGGCGGAAACCTCAGGCGACTCTGCCGCTGGAGGCGGCGGCTGCACCGAAGCATGCGTGTACGTTCCCGGCTGTGGCTGGCGACCCGAAGAGAGGGCGATGATCTGAAGCTGCTTCGCTGCAGACAACGAGCGCTCAAAATGCGGCACAGCTGACAGAGCGCTGGAGACAGATACCGGGCTGTGAGTTAACGGACAGCTCTTCAGTCCCGCCAGCGGCCGGCTGATGGAAGACGCCTGGCTGGAGGGAGCAGCAGCGATTGGTTGGAGGGCCGAGGTCTGTCGAGGTGACGCCGCTCTGTGACCGTTAGGAGAGTGAAGTCTGGGTCTCAGAGGGACGGCTCGAACCGGAGAATAGAGAGCTGTGGGAGACGAGCATGAAGAGGAAACCATTAAACTATGAGGGATGGATATGACTAATAATGATCTGATAAATGACAGACTGCCACTCGTGCATGTTGTTTAATTCTCATGTGCTTCACTGTAATCTGCTGATGCACAGCAGGCTGCAGGATTCAGGGTGTTGGCTGAAAAACTTTCTCACATTAAGATTTAAACATTTCCTTTCAGTGGCTCCAAAAACTCTGAATTATTTAGATGATCAAATGCAAATTTTATTATGTTTTTGTTTTCTAATTTTCATCTCTCAAGGCTGCAAAATATATCAAGACCCATGATTCAATTTACTTTGTTCTGCAGCACAGTGCAGTTTTCTTCCAGTGATTTATGAGTTCAGCTGCAGACAATGACGGCAAACATGCTGAAAACTGACTTGTTGTGTTCTGTGAGGGTAAACCGAAGCTCTGACGTCTCCGGGTAATAGAGAGGAATTATTTGGTTCATAAGTCACTGAAATGAAACGGTACACAGGACCACAGCAGTGCAGCTAAAGACGGCTCTGAACAGCTAAAAGCAGTAAGTTTGTCCTTTCTTGTTTTAAAAGTAACCAAAATTAAAATAGTGAAAAAAGAAAAATATCTATTTAAAAAATGTAATTCTTTAAAAACTGAAGACAAAAAATGATTGAAAGTATAAAACGCTCATTTTGAAACAATTTTTTTTAGTTTACTCACTGCTTGTAGAAAAGAAAACTAAACATGCAATCTCACACCACAAGTGTGATTGTTGCTAACACCAGACTGTGGCTTGCTGCCAGAACAGCTGCAGAGAGATGCAGACGGCTTTAAACTGCAGGCTTTTATTTTGAAAGGTTCAGAGTGTTGATAACATCCAATATGTAATTTGAGGCTTTTATTTTGTGTCTTTTATCCTTTCTTCACCTCAAACCCGTTGCAGCAGATGGCTGCCCGGTCCTGAGGTTTCTTCCTGTTAAGAGGGGTTTCCTTCCCACCAAGTGCTCGCCTACAGGGATTTGTCTCATTGCTCAGGCTTCTCTGTATTATTGTAGCGTCTCTACCTTACAATATAAAGGGCCTTGAAGCAACTGTTATCATTTTGAAAGCATACTGGTCTTCCACTGATGGCTTTTATTTTGAAACTCTGAACCACACCTCCCTCCAGTCCCCCCGGTTAGTCACTGTCAGGGTGAGAGCTGGATCCACCAATAAACTCAAACAGGATCAAATATAAATAAAACATCAGCTGACTGAAAGTGCAGAATTATAATAATTTATGATAATATATTAGTCACTATGTAAGACCCTCACATGGAGGAGCGTACTCATCCGGCCTCATCACACCCTTCAGGGACCTACTTGGAGGCGGCACGGCGAGGTGTCGGCTGGGCGTGGTTGGACACTCCGTTGCTGTGATGCTGGACTGAGGTCGCGGCTTGAGAATCGGGAAGAGGGGGACTTGAGGTCGAGAGAGGGGAGGCGGGGCCGTGGCGTTGGGCTTGAGGCGTAGGGAAGGAGGGATGGCGAGAGTCCCGGGGGGAGGAGGCCTCAAGGTGAGACTCTGGAGCTGGAAGGGACACAAAGATGTTCAGTTAGATCCCACGAAGGCGTTGGCTATCCAGTCACAGCTTAGCAACTGTTACCAGCGAGGGCGGGTATGTTACAGGCAGCAGGAAAAAAGCTCTCTGAAGCAGATTTAGTCTTAAACGTCGGACATTTTCTGATTGTTCGTAAGGTGAAAATAAGAAATACAAAAACAGAAAAACAAGATCACATTTCCTATTGATGTGGGTCTGAGGACCAACTGTGGAGAGATCGTCCACTGATCCTGATCCCAGTCACAGCCGTCTGTTACAGTCAACGTATGAGAGGAGTGTGTTTCACCCAGAAGGAATTATGGGTAGTAGTTGAGCCTGGCTATCTCTCATATACCAGACTTTGTTGAGCTGGCACGCATCCCACACGCTGACATAACCCTTTCATTTCTCCAGCGAACGATCAGAAAACAGATCAAACATCCAGGTCTCAGAGCCGGGACACGCATGCGCACGGCTGCTCAAAGAAACCAGATTCTGCTTTTAGATCGCAGCACTGGGACGGGGTGTAAAAGGGACTCAGGGCAGTTTTTACCACAGCTTGAATGTGTTCTTCACGTGTGCGTCTTTTGTAGTTACGGAGACTAAACATGCTAAAAATGCCAAATTTGCATTTCATTAAATGACTGAAAGTTACTGAAAAAAGCAGCTCGCTCGCTGTGCTTGCTGAGCTTCGCGTGTTTCAGACGACTGTGTAAAGAAGTCAGCTTTTTGCATTTACCGTCTAAGGTCAGTTCAAAAGATGCATTCACGTGCATATAAAGACATTTGCTCGGCTGCTCACCTGAGCCGAGGCGGGGTTAGAGGAAGGAGGAGAAGTGGAAACAGAGGAGGAGGAAGAGGAGGAGCACGGCTGGGGCGGCCGCATAGCAGATGTAAGAATTAGCTGCAGGAGAAAAAGGAGGAAACAGGTGAAGGAGGAGATGAACAGAGGAGAGCAGGACAAGCACAGATGTTTGTGTGAGACATAACTGAAGCATCTTCTTGGCCTTTGCTTCCTTTTAATGACCTGATAAAACACCCATAAACATAAAGGTTACTTTTTCAAACGGATCAACATCAGATTTGAACCCTCACACAAGAAAACTGTGAATTTTGCTGGGGACTATTTTCTGCGGTGGATTAATACAACTGCGAGGCAGATGCTTCATATTCAGTGTTTTTCAATGTTAAACAGACTTTTTTACAACACATTTAAGTGTTTAAATCCAGGTGGCAGATCTAGATGATGGAAATGATTTGTGAGATTAACCACGGTTTAATATTTCACCGTTAAAAGAACTTTTATGAACAGATAAATAACCTTTAGTCTAAAATAGGTTTCTGTGCAAATAATCAAATGATGTCAATAATGACAATTTGATGGTTTTCACAGATGTGTAGTTTTGAGCTCATCAGTCACAATCAAGCCGCTTTGCTCTTTCTATACATGAACACTCATAATATCTGGGGACCGTTCTTTATTGAGAAACAGAGTTTACTTTGTTTCTGTCGCTCAGGCTCAGTCTGACTCTTCTTTAGCTGAGCACCACCGTCTGCCATCAGAGACATGATCAGAGCAGACACAAAGATTCAGTATGTGGAACACTGATGATGCAAATAAGACATGAAATCATCAAAGCTGTGAATTCATTTATCTTGTTGTTGACTTATCTCTACCATGGCGGCTGCACAGCACTCTTGTTCTTAGTAACTGCAGTTGCAGCAGTGCTCAGCTCAAGGATGAAAACAGATATATTTGTATATTTCTGACCTGCAAATGTCAGTGACAATGAAACACAAACATATGCATTGCTCAACTTAGTGATGGGAGTCAGGTACTAGCTACATGCATGCAGCTATACACAGTCAGCCAATCACAGGGCAGCGTCTCTATGCATGTAGGCATGTAGACACGGTCGAGACGACGGGATGAAGTTAAAGCTGAGCATGTGGAACAAAAGGTGATTTAAGTGACTCTGAATGTGGCGAGGTTGTTGGTGCCAGACGGGACGGTCGGAATATTTCAGGATCTGCTGGGATTTTCCCACCGAAAAAGAAAATATCCAGTGAGCAGCAGTTCTCTGGGCGAAACGTGCCTCGCTGAGGTCAGACGTCGGAGGAGAAAAGCTTCAAGAGATCAGTAACTCAAATAAGCACTGTGTGGCGAGGCGTGGTCTGCGATGCTGCTGCAGGTGAGATGGACGCACCTGCGCTGATCTGCAATCACACCTGTGCTGTTGTCATTAGTGGTTGTTGGTGGTGATGTGTACGGCTGGCAGCTGTTACAGCAACCGTGTGAATATTGTAAGAAGAAAGCATGCTGCAAAGCATGAAGATGCACCCGGGCCTGCTGTGGGTTTGTTACACACTGGTTACAGCCGTAGCAGAAGAGCATCTCTGAGCTAACAGCTAGTCCAACCTCAAACCACACGAGTGTCCTTTCTGTCAGCTACGAGAAGCCTGAGGCTACAGTCCACACAGGCTCCCCAAGACTGGACAACAGAAGCCTGGAAGCATGTTTCCTGGTCTGATGAGTCGCGACTTCTGCAACATTAAGACTTCAGTGTCACCATTTGGCCTAAACAACATGAAGCTTCGTGTCAACTGTTCATACTGCTGGTGGTGAAACAGCTTGGGCCTCTTAGGCTGTGGTGTTTAAATGATGCTACCTATTGTTGCTGAACATGTCCATCCTCTTATCGCTACACTGTATCCATCTTCCAAAGGTCACTTTCAGCAGGACAACAGGGCTCAACCTCGTACTGGCAACGTGTACCTCATGAAGTGGCCTCTGAGTGTATAATGTGTACTCTCTGCTGTAAATCAAAGATTTGGGGAAAATGTGGTGCTTCAAGATTGTTTTAAACTAAAACTTCAAACACATAATCTTCTCCCAAACAGGTAGTATGTACATCATCAGTTACCATGGTGATTTAGAGAGGTAAAGCACCTCTGTAACACTTAAAAGTCTGACTTTAAGCTCAACACGGCTGCCTTAACCTGGTAACGTTGCTTCATAGTCTGTGTTTTCAGACTGTTTCAGATCACGTCTCACAGGGTTTTTGGTGCAGTGCATTTCATATCATTTACATCATGTTTGTGTTTGTTTAGTATTCGGAGAAATTTCTGCTTTGAAAGCTTTGAAACGTCTGTTTTCAGATTTGTTTGCAGCTTTAAACTCGGAGCTTTTCCTGCCAACTGGCTCATTTTAATACTCGTCATCCTTTCTGCAGCTGCACACTCTGTCCTGTTCACTGTGAGCAGCAGAACAGAATGCATGTGGAAATATATGAAAGTGTGTGTGTGTGTGTGTGTGTGTGTGTGTGTGTGTGTGTGTGTGTGTGTGTGTGTGTGTGTGTTTACCATCTGAGCTCTAAGCAACACTTGGTCTTGGCCTGTCCCTTTGAGACCTTTTCCTAGGAGCAATGTCTGCTGGGACACCTTGGGATGCCTGACAGGGGAGGGGTTCTGATTGGTTCGCACAAGACCAGGTGTGCCCACAGGAGTCTGTGATACCTGGAACAGAGGCAGGAGAGGGGGGAAGGGAAGCAATTAAGGCAGTGCTTCAGAGCAGGGATGACTTTTTGTGATATTTCCTCGAACAGCAAAGCAGTCACGAGTGTGTTTGGGTGGAAACCAAAAGAGTAAACAATGAAAATGTCGAATTTTTAATGCTTCTTTTCTACAAAAAAGAAAAACACTAAATGAATACTTTAACAATGGACAGCTTCATCCAAGCAGATTAAACTCTCTCCACCAGGCAGCTCACATCTGTTTATAGTTCTTTAATCTCATCTATCAGGTTTAATTTAAAGATTTGAAAAACTGGTTTGTAAAATTTGTTGTCAGAAACTGTTTGGCATGTTTTTAGGCAAAGGAGTGGATTTTAAATCTGAAGTTCAGACTTGAATTAAAGGGGTTTAATAAAAGTATTCCCTCAAATATTCAGGAATTACAGCCATTTCAATGCACAGTCGCCCATTTTCAGAGGCTCAGAATTCATTAGACAACTGTTTAATATGTTTTCACGGCCACCAAATGCAAGTGTTTCATTTGCATTTGTTTGCTTTTTCAGAGGAACTCTCAACACGAGGTCCGAATAAATGTCAGTGCGAGACAAACAGGCCATCACTCGACTGAAAGTCCAAATAAAACAAATGAACCCATCAGGCAGAAAGAAAAAATCAACATTGTGGTGCATCGGCCAGCTCAGCAACACTACGAGACTTTAAAGACCACAGAACGCTCTCAGGGAGGATCATCGTCACAGGGTTTACACCAACAGGGTGCAAACCACTGGTTACACTCAAGAACAGGAGCCAGACTTTACCAGAAAACGCGCACGGCTGGCAGTGGAAGCAGGTCACGAGTGTTTACTGATGATGCGATTGCTGATAGAAGCAGCGGGATGAGCCGCGAAGTGTACGGCGCTGTAGCCTCTGCTCAGATTCAGACAAACGCTGCAGGGCTGATCGGACAGAGCATCGGAGTGCAGACGGACAATGAGCCGGACCACAAAAGCGACCCAGTGCAGAGAAACGTGATCCTCTTCAACGGCCACGTCGGGCACCTGATCTCAACCCGACACAGCAGCTTTTCAGTTACTAAAGGAAGAAAGACACAAACTTACTTCTGTTGAGCTTCGAATTAAGCGGAAAGTCTGAACTTCAATCACAATCGGTCGATTGTTTCATTTAAAATCGCAGCGGTGGCCATCGGGTATCAGTAACTGTCCTTTTCTGTTGCTGACATCCAGCTAATGACAAGTTCTGAGAACAGCTTCAGAAAAGCCGGGATTGAAGTTTCTGATTTCGTGCTCATCTCAAGCTCGTGTCTTTAAAGCTCTAACGTGAGGAACCGCAGACTGTGCAGCTTTTTGTATCTGGCAGCAACGCCTGCATACAGAGTGTGAACGCCAGCGTCTCTGTGGCTCGCTCACAGTTCAGCCTGTTTACTCACTGAATTAACAGAGAGCGAGACCCGAGTGTAAGGATGTGAAACGCACTCAGATGAAAGCAAACAAAGAGGAAACTGTAACCCCAAACAGTCAAACACTGACCCAGATGGAGCCTGACAGGTGAAAGGTCCGAGGCTTCGTCTCACGAGCTGTCTGTCATTCTTACATTTAGATTATTCACACCTGATCTTTCTTTTTAAATCCGTTTGTTCAGGTCAGCTGTCGCTTTCAACAGTTGTTCCAACATTTAATGAAACTCAGCTTAAAAGATTCTCACACACCACGTGTCACAGAAATATGAATAAAATACAGATTCGGTCATTTAAGCAGGTTGACTGTCATGTGCTGTACCTGCATTTTTATTTACTGTAGCTTCACTTTATGGATGAAGCTTGCTAACAAAGCTAGCACTAGCTATCAACTTTGTGCACCTTTGCACCAAATCCAAAGAGTGAAAACTGTGATTTGAGTCTTGGCTGTGCGTTCTGTAAAGATGGCAGTACAAGTAAACATCACGAGTGCAGGAAGGCTAGATAAAACTTTGAGCTCAAGCTGTTTTATTTACATCCGTCCTCTGCGTCAGGCTCGTCTTCTGAGATTAAATTACTGCGTCTTTTTTAGACGAAGCTAAAAATGATTTGGTCCTAATGTTGTCAGCCTGTTGAATGACTGCTGTCAGTCTTATGAATACAGCCAGTAGGTGGCCTCCTCCTTATGTAACCCAGAGACTGTGCATAAAAGAGGCATCACAGGTTTTCTTTTCGAAGCCTCAAAGTTAACGTTTTAGCCACTGTCATGGTGGGATTCTTGGATGTGGTCATGAGAGGGTGGAGACGTGCGTCCTTATTCTGTATGGGTGCAATGTATGAACACAGAAAGAGCAAAGATCCAATACAGACAAACTGGACAAACTCCAGCAAAGTGTTTCTAAATGAAAGACGTGTTCCTGTTTCTCTATGTGGGGGTCAGTGTGTGACCTTTACCTGTCTGCCAGGTGGACTGGCTGGCGTGTGAAACGGTGTGATTGGCGTTGAGGTTGCAGAGAGGACCCTAGCGCTCCCGTTGGTCAGGCTGGTGGAGATCTTGGCAGACATGGTGGTGTTGTTGTGCGTTGCAGAAGAAGTTGGAGAGGATGAGAGGAGTGGTGAAGGAGCGGTCGCTACGACAGGAGAGGAGGAGGACGAAGGGGGAGGGAGAAGGGAGGGGGAAGGGGGGGTTTGCACGGAGGAAGACATTTTGGAAGAATGGTTGTGTCGGGAGTATGTGCGGAGGGTGGGGGCAGGGGTGGAGGTAAGTTTAGGGGGAGTCGGGACGAGGACGTGAGGAGACGGAGCGCCTGCCGTTGCTGCTGCCGCCTTTGGTCCATGGTTTGTGGTGATGGAGGGAGCGGGAGTGAGAGGCGGGGGAGGGGAGGAGGTGGTGGGTGTCAGCGAGGGTGCGGGGGAGTCCAGGAGCATGGGTTGGGGGTAAGCCGAGGAGGCGTGGGGGTCGGAGGGGTGGCAGAGGACTCAGCGGCGGTCGGAGGGCTCGTTCCATTGGTGGCCTCGCCGTGATCTGATTGGCTCTGCCGAACCAGCTCCCTGTCCATCCTTCAACACTGAAGCACGCTGAGACAGACAGACACACAGACACACACACAGACACACAGACAGACACACAGACACACACACAGACACACAGACACACAGACACACACACAGACACACAGACACACACACAGACACACAGACACACACACAGACACACACACACACACAGACACACACAGACACACACAGACACACAGACAGACGCACAGACACACAGACAGACGCACAGACACACACACAGACACACACACAGACACACAGACACACAGACACACACACAGACGCACAGACACACAGACAGACAGACGCACAGACACACACACAGACACACAGACACACAGACAGACACACAGACGCACAGACACACAGACAGACAGACACACACACAGACACACAGACACACAGACAGACGCACAGACACACACAGACAGAGGCACAGAGTTAATTTGCATACTTTGCATTTCCAGTTCCAGAGAAAACAAACTCACTGCAACATTTGTTCTCAGAATTAACACAAGACATGGAAATAAGTCCTAACGTTCCTCGTGAGGATTCATGATCAGCGGGGGAAGCCTCGGCACCACCACAGACGAGCTGGAGGCCAAATCTAACAGTTAAGAGCCCAAAACCAACAATCGGCACAAACACGACCTCATGTTAACCTGTTCTGTACAAAGCTAGCAGCGAGACACTCCAGAGTGATGCTGAAGCAGCGTCACAGCTTGATTTTCAAGTAACAAAAGCTGGAACGGGCTCGTGCATTTCTAACCACATTTGTTCCAGCACAACGTCTTGATGCACGCTCAGTCATCCAGGTAAGCAAATCCACAAAAGTCCCAACTTTTTGGGATTCCTGCACAACGTTAAAAAGCCTCTGGTTTCAGTCACGTTTCAGGATACAAGTTTTCATCTGCCTCACTTTTTCTCCTTTCTTCTCTACCTGATCCCATCCCCGGTGTCCTCCTCTGTCACACCAACCCTTTTTCTCCTGCCTGGCAGCTCCATCTTCAACCCTTTTGTTCAACATGTCCAGTCTTCCCTCTCTGCATGCGTCCAAACCATCTCAGCCTCGCCTCTAACTTTGAGCTGTCCCTCTGGTGGGTTTGTCCATCTTCAGCCTCCTGTTACATCACAGCAGGTCTCACTACTGTCTTGTAAACCTTCCTTTTCACTCTTGCTGCTTTCACACATCACCCCTGACACTCGTCTGCCTTCACTACCTCATTCGTATTGATTTGCATTGACATATTCTGGTCTTAAAGGATGAAAAACTGCTTTTTGAGGGTGGAACAGTTGGTGGAATAAATCTGGACCTGACTACAGTTCAAGTCCAACACGACTGTTTTGATGTTTAAAATGTGTTTTTGATTTAAAACACAGACATGTCTCTTGTTCCTGGGTAGGAAGTGTTCTTCTTGCCTGGGAGGCAGAAGGAGAGTCATTAATATCTATTTGCAAAAACTTTGCTTTTGTGACCCATAATTTAATTTGTAATTACATTTACAAATGTCACTGTCATCGTAACAAAGACAAAGTCTGCCTGAGAGACACTCTTTAACCCAATGGTCCTTTTGCAATCAGGCTTTAAAAGTTAATGCAAAATCTTGCAAAGGGTTATGATTAAAAGCCACCTGGTTATGTTTAAGCAATAAAAACACTCAGAGTTTGAGTGGACAAACAAATTTGCTGGTTTGTCTCCAGGAAAACAAAAAAACAGATTTTCAATCCCTGAGGTCTGGCTGTCCAGAAGTAGAGTCTATCAGCTTCATTCTTATATTTAAATAGGTTAGTGAAAGAAAGATGGTCCGCGTGTTCTCCTGATTAACACAGAGATTCGAGCAGACAGGTACACGTCAATGTACTTCTGATATTTTGTTAAGCAGCACATGCAAATGTGATGCTGCTGCTTAAAGCTGTAATTAGTAGCGTAATAAATGACTTTTAAAGCAGTGTAAATACACCGATCAGCATGACATCAGGTGAGGTGAATAACGCTGACTCTCCATCATTGTACATCAGGGAGAAAGTGAACATTTTGTCCTCTAAGTTGGTGTGTGAAGCAGGAAAAACAGACAAGCATGAAGATGTGAGCGAGTTTGACAAAAGGCCAAACTGTGACGCCTTCTTCTCTGAAGCTGCAGGTCCTGTGGGGTGTTCCCGGTCTGCAGGGTCAGTCAAAAAGTGGACCAAGGAAGGAACAGCAGGGAACCAGCGGCACGGTCATGAGCAGCCAAGGCTCATTGATGCACGGGTGAAGGCTTGCCTGTGTGGTCTGATCCAACAGAGAGCCAATGTAGCTCAAAGTTCATGCAGGATCACACAGCATCACAGTTCGGTGCAGTCCAGTCAGGGCGCCCATGCTGACCTCTGTCCACCTCTAAAACCACCGACAACAGACAGGTGAGCATCAGGACTGGACCACGAAGAAACAGAAGAAGGTGTTCTGGTCTGAGGAGCCACGTTTCTTTTACATCACATGATGGCCGGATGAGTGTGTTGCTTATCTGGGGAACACCTGCCGCCAGGATGCACTATGGGAAGGAGGCAACGTTCTGCCCAAACATCGACACGTACCATCCTCCTAAGCACTGATGCAAAACATGTACACGCTTTCATGGAAATGGTATTCCCTGATGGCTGTGGCCTCTTTCAGCAGGAAAATGAGCCTGGCCACAGAGAAAGTGGTTCAGGGATGGTGTGAGGAGCACAGCAGTGAGTTTCTAAGGCCCCGAACAGAGGGTTTAGAGGATGCTGATCCACAGCACACATTCAGGAGTCTAGAGGAGTGCGTGCCTTTACGGGTCAGGGTTGTGTTGGCAGCAAAAGGGGGACCAACACAATATTAGGACGGAATGCCTGAAATCTGAGTGTTAAGTAATGCATTACTTTGTTACAAAGTAATGCATTACTATGTTACAAAGTAAAGAGAGTTTGAGTTCTGAGCGTAACACTGAAACAACTGCAGAAAATTATTAAAATAAGTGTTTAAAAAGCACTTTGAGTAAATAAAGCCCAGGTTAAAGCATCAAATATACACAAGCACTCAAAACTGTCTTTACAAATCTAGGCTGCTGACATTTTCTGAGTATACATATTATAACATTTGCTAAACAAAGGTTGTATAAAGTCCACTTAACTCTTTTTTTCTGCTTTGATATATTAAGTTCATGTGACTTTGTTCATGTTGACACTATTTCATCTTTTTAGGCCAGTTTTTAAAGTAAAGGCGACTCTGATTCACCTTTTTTGAATTTTTGGATGGAGTTAAAGTTCGCCCCTGAGGACCTGCTCATGCCTCGCCCTTTAAAGCTGAAACACGACACCCTTAGTGTCAACTTCAGCCGTGTGTTTTGGATTTGAGCCAGTGCAGCAGTTAATCTGAACCGTCGCTGCAAAACGAAAACAGAAAAGCGTCTCCTGATCTCCATACTGCAATCTGTAATTATTGGATTATCTGACCGCAGACTGCATCAGTGTCCTTAAAACACCGTTACCTGATTCATTTCTGTCACTTTTAAGCCAAAACTTCCAAATATCTTCTGGCTTGAACAACTCAAGTATGAAAATTTACTTCTTTTCTTTCTTCTTTTTGACTTTTCTGACATTACATAGAAAAAACCCACCTGAGCAAACCGTCTACATGTTAATCAGCAATGAAAGCAACCATGCTGCAGCTCACGTATCTGCAACTGATGCATCAGACCCAGGATCCGTGAAGTTTTCACACCCGAAAAGAAAACAGGAACAAGAAAAACAATGACCTTTCCACCAAGAAGATAAACAAAGTTGGTTTATCCTGTCGACGCTCAAACGTCCCTACACGTCTTCAGAATAAGCAGACAAAAATGACCGGTTTGTTTTGTAAAGCCGGCCTCCTTCCATCATAAACAAAGAGCAGAGAAACGTCCTCCCACCAGCCGAGCCCTGATCCTCCACATGTCAGTGCAGTGAGCGAAACTTTATATTATTCAGAGACATGCAAATGTTACAAAACTGGAGTTTGCATATATTGAAATGATTTAAATGTAATTTTAGATGATGACCTTGCCCAGTTTGCTTAAAGCCTTGCTTAAATGCTCCTGTATGGAGTAGTTACAGGGCACAGGTGGGACACGTGCCCCTCCACAGTTATTTAGAGCACAATTATCTCGTTTCAATGACAACATGAAAGGAGCAGAGGGAGGTGTATAACCACAAAGGAGCCGTGAGGGAAAAGGAGGAGGAGGACATCTGATATCACAACATTTACTCTGGTGATTTTAGTGACTTTGGTCTGAGTGTTTCAGAAGCTGCTCATCTGCTGTGATTTACGCACACGGCCGTCTGTAAGGTTTACAGAGGAAGACAGAAAAATCCAGCGAACAGACTGTTGGGTGAAAACGGCTTGTTTGTGTCAGAGGAGAATGAAGAGAGTAACTCAAATCATCACAACTAAGTTATGCAGAAGAGCAGGTGTGAGCGCACAGCATGCCGAACCTTCAGCAGCAGAAGACCACACCTGTCAGGCAAGAACAAGAAATGTGGACCAAAATCTTTGAGGGATGTTTCCAGCAACTTGTTGAATCTGGGTCACAAAGAGTCAGTTCAGCTGGTCTGAGCAAAGTGTACCTAATGATGTGGCTTATAGGTGTATATATCTATGGTTCCTGCTGAGAGCTGTTACCTTCCAGAGTGTACAGAGATCAAAATGAATGAATTCATCATCGATGTGAATATGTGACGCATTTCAGCTTCAAGTGAGGAGCAGCTGCATATTTAGACGAGTTTCCCATCATTTGTCTACTTCCACAACTTTTCACAGTTTTTACAGGAACTGGCATGTTGGTGTGGCAAGGAGAATGGGAAGTAGGGTGGAAATATATTTGTCAGTTTAGTTTTTGAACATTTTTGACTTCTTGCAATTTTCCTCTTTTACACACGTCTTGCAGTGAAGCCTGGCTAACAGAGCTATTGTAGAAAGATTTACTGCAGCTGAGAGACTTGAGACAAAAACCGAAGCATTGATTCAGCAGGGATTATTTTAAATGACAGAAGTTGTTAATTTTTCAGCAGAATGTTGCATTGTTATTGTGCCGGATTTTTGAGTTTTGTTGCTGCTGTAAACTTCCCCAGAAAACGACTGAATCTCAAAGGTTCCCGCAGGAGGATCCACCTGGCTTCGTTTATAGTCACATTACAGTAATTTGTAGTAACAAAAAAGGTGCTTTGGGTGCTCAGCTAGAGTAGATAAGTGCTAAAGAAAGCCACACCTGTGATAGCGGTTATAGTCAGGTAACAAACATGTCATATCTTACATAAATATGTACTTTTACCCACAGCAGGTCTCAAAATCCCAGAGCCACGTTTTCCGACCTTGATGTCTGTCACCGACTTTTAAAGCCAATCTTTCACATTTCCTATAAATGTGCTATAAAGTGGGCCACATATATGTTACAGAGCAGAGCACATGTTATGATCACACTTTAGCTGTGACTTTGTTAGCTTTGTTTTACTCAGTTCAATTTTTTTAAATTAGTCTTTTTATTTCTTTGTTTTTGTTTGCTGCTGGGATTTTTCCCCTTAAATAAAACACTCGAGTGTGCAGTAACACTGCTAAATTGACATTGTTGTTGTTGAATGCCCTCTCGGTTTCTAGTAGGTAACTTTTCATGCAGCAAGAGTGCAAACACTCTGCAGGTTTTTCTTACTTCCTTTACTGTCCGAAGTGTGGCCTGAAAAACCACAGAGGTCCCGGTGTGGTTCCAGGAGGTCCCCCAGCTTTCTATTAGTGTAACAAGAATGATAGTTTTATATTCACATTGTGCTATTTTGCAGCTCTCTGGCTGGGAGCCCTTATTGTACCCGTGATGTTATTTCTAGTGTTCAGCGCAGTAACTGTTAATAGTGCACAATTTAATCTTAAACCCAGCTTTAACAGTTTTACTTGTTTTGTATTATTTCACACAGTAACGACTGTCCCCCAGCCTCCAGCAGCCATGTTTTGGGTTGTTGTTGTTTTTTACAGTTTTTAATCTTGTAACACTGAATTGTTTTTTCTCTGTAAGCCAGAGAAGCAGAGACACAGAGGGCTACAAGACATACGGGTGAACATGGAAGTGAACTGTGAGCTGGCAGCTGAGCAGAACGCAAACACCTCATTAGATGACAAGAACTGAAACTTGATTAATGTAAAGATAAGATTCTACCAGAAAAACAAAATTAGAAAAGAAATAATTTCCCAACTAAAAGACGACTAATGCACCTCTTTATTTTTATACTTGCAGCACACAGCTGTGGTCAGATGTTCACAGTAATGAATTTCATGGTCATTTTAGGTGTTTGATGATTCTTTGAGCTGTTTTTGGTGGAACAGCATACGTCTCTAAGAATTGGGGGAATAAGTTTGAATTTATTTCAGATTTTCTCTCATCTAAGGGGCTTAAATATATAATTAAATGTCTATTAGCTAGTTTTACTTTAACCAGGTGCTTTGGGTAAGCATCAGCAAGCGTCTGGCATCATTCCTGCTGCTCAAAATGACCACGACATTAACGTCCATAATGAGTGTCTTTCAATCTCAGAATAATCCTTCTTTGTCTCACTGTGGCCTTGCTGTGGTCCCTCAGCCACCGCCTGTCTGAAATAAGTAGTTTTAGAAAAAACAAAACATTTTAGCTCCTCCTTAAAGGGTTAAGGCTTTCTTCTGATTGGCTGTCCGTTGTCAGCGCGGGGCAGGAGGGACTGCTCTGTCTGAGATGTCTATATTAGAAATATCCTGTCTCTATTACATCATAAATATCTATTGTAGCCATAAAAATGGTAAAAACAGAGTGCTTCGAGTAGCTCAAAGCCCGAGCTTTTGGCTCACAGGGAACATACACTGACTTGGCCGTATTCAATCTGCACATCCACCTCTGGAACAGCAGACATGTGAGAGGAAACAATGAGGAGGTCGGGTCGCCTATAAGGGTTTGAATACTCCTTTAAGCGCAGCAGCTGAGTTCTCTGGCAGACACAGAGTCCAGCAGCAGTTTTTTTCTCTTCCTGCATTTAGCTGATGATTAAAATTCAGTCATTTTAAAAGCATCCTCCCTTCACTTTCATATTAATATTCACTTAAAGATGCACACTGTTGTATTTATATTGATCACAGCTAGCTATAACATGACCAAGTTCCACCCTTACTACTTCCTGACTGACTGTTGGCTGTGAGGCCCACAAACTTACTGAAAAGATTCCCGGCGTACATGGAAACATCTCTAATTCAAAGCAAGTCAAAGACTCTGGGACATTAAGTCAGCTACTGGAAACAGTTATAAAATGAACTTATAAGAACAATATAAATCAACACATGCAGGAACAATAACATTTACTGCCAATAACAATGCAAAAGTGTCACATGGCTCTGTGCTTTCGTTTTGCTGTCCAGATGTGGCAACCACAGGGGCCCCAGTGTGGTTCCATGAGGCCCCTTTTTTCTTCTAGTGCAATAAATCCTGTGAAAACTGATCATGTTGAATGAAAATCTAACCGTTATTGATTTATTTACCATCACTTTTCACACAAAAAAGTCTGATTTGTGTAACTAACACGCCCGACCTAACAGAGGAATAAAACATTGCTTTCACCAACAACTTTGTGCCACCTTTGCAAATACACAACTCCATAACTAACAGGTTTGTCTACGTTTTTATTTCTTTATTTTGTTTTGCTGTTCAAAGTGTGTAAGTGTGTAGGAATCCCACAGCACATCTACTAAACTACGTAAGACTTTCTGTCAGATTTCTGAATAATTTCCTCTTGAGGTTTTCATTTCATCGAGTCATCAATGAGTTACGATGGACACTTTACATGGTTCGCCTTGTTATTGAGTCGTTATCCAAAAAAGTGGCAGGAAGAACCACATGAGCCCCAGTGTGGGTCCAGGAGGTTCCCCTGTAAGATGTTTATTTTCTAGCATCTGTACTCAATATAAACACAGTATTATTATTATGGAATACATGAATTGAAAATCTGTTTTTTGTTGTCTGACCAACAGTACAGAACTCAAAGATTAATATCCAGACAATCAACTAAACCACCACCTTCAGCTGAAACCAACAAATTTCAGTGTGTTTGAAGAAGGATTTAAATGACTGATGTGATTAAGCTAAACTGACCAGCCAACAAGATTAAAAACCCTGTGCTGTCCAAAATGTGGCCCGCTGAACCACAGGAGCCCCAGGATAAGTCCAGGAGGTCTCCCTGCAAAATATATTTCCTCGTAGATCACAATCTGCACTCTTGTGCACTCTATCGTTTGGACAAGGGAAAGATATCATAAGATATGTAGATAATTTCTTCAGTCTATCACTTTGTCTATCTTCAGTCTGCTTCAGCCTCAAAAATCCATCAAGAACTCCCAGAACTTGGTTTAAAGTCTGTAAACTCCATGTTTTATTATATGAATCATCCAGAGCTCAGTTTAACAGCAGAATGAAAACATAAAAACAACTCCTTTTATCAACTCGAACCGACAAATTTCTGCTTAAAAATGACACGAATAACTCTGATATTACCCTGAAAGCGATTAGTCTCCATTTAGAACCAACGCGTGTAGTTTATCTGTGTGCACTGTATACAGTATACACGAGGAGCCTCTGCTCATTGTTTGAAGTTCAGAAATGTGGAGATCAGGGCGCAATAAGGGCCAAGATCTTCTGGGAAGTCGCTTTTCTGGTTAAAATGGGAGCTGAGCGTGCGGCCAGAAGTAAGCTAAATTCACGCAAAACCACCACGCAGGCAGGTGCTCGTCCACGCACAGCGGGCAGATGCTGACATCTGGCCCGCAGCCTGTTAACTGAACGTGTCCGCCTCAGACGATGGTGGTGATAGCAATGAGCCACAGTGCACAGTGACAGTTAGGCCAGAGATCATACATGTGACTATAAAAAAGAAAAAAGAAAGATGGAGACAGGCCTTCACAGGGGAGAAATCTCACGATAATAACATTTTGAAGAATTGTCATGTCCACGTTGCGCGTAAAGCGCTTCGCTCGCCTACCTGCTGAAATGCTCGACGTCCTGCAGGTTATTCCCGCTGCCGTCCATCCGAAAGTGGGCGCATGTTTGGAAAGTCCGTTGCTGTGTTATCTGATGAGCGGCTCTGGGCTTTTTCAGCAGGGTCGACAGGCTCAAATGGGCGTGTGTGAAGCTTCACTTCCTCGTCTGACAGCGCAGGGGCTGCTGAGAAGTGCGCGTCACCCTTCCCCAGACAATAATTTCCCCGACCTCACCTCTATGATTATCCGCCCTCTGCGCCCACCGAGAGCCCAAAACGCAAAGTTGCAGTGCAAGACGGGCCCGTTTATGATGTGCAGGGGCTTGTGTGTGTCTGTGTGTGTGTCGCACTTTGTTTAGGATTTCATCACATCCTGGGCTTTCCTCCGCCGTAGATCCGGCCTTCGCAGCGGTTATGGAGTCCGTCGTCCTCCGCTGTGCCACCACCGTCTCACCTCCCGGGTCTGCGGTGGGAATCAGCCCGGCTCAGGGGCACCGTGTAGCGGCTGCGAGGGGCCTGGTTATTCCGCTGCTGGAGAAATGCAATGGAAGTGCAGTCGTTGCAGGGCGGCAGATGCGAGACAGCACCACTCAGAGCTCAGGAGGACCGCAAAGACGCCGATATACAGCCGTGCATGCACGCTGCACACTGTAACACAGTTTGTACCAGCGCAACAGCTCGATGTGTTACTGTGAGAGCAACACTGGGAGCAAAGACGCGGTCAGAGACGTCATTGAGGGGCACGAGGTGCTGAAAATGCTGTGAATCCAACATTTCGCATTAGAAAAACTGCAGAACAGGTAAAGACGCATAAACTCTGGTACATCTGCTCATGCAGTCCGAGCGATGATTTAATCCAGAATGTTGGCAACTGTTCGATATTGGCTCATTCTCCATCAAATCACCCAAACTTGAGAAAGGTTCCCATCCGACCACCTCAGGATCCGCCGATATTTTCCTTTTTACGTTACCTTCAGTATTTTTATGAAGCCATGTAAAAATACTGACGGTACAGTCCTAATATTTGCCTTCATATTATAAATATTTTCAGAGTTCATAGATTTGGGCTGAAATTTGGTGATTTTTAACTATTTTCCCTTCTGTGGTGTTCAGGATGTTTCAGCCTGAAGTGTAAAAACTGACCCTGTGACCCTCTGTGATCATGCAAGGATTTCAGAACCTGAACTTGTTTGATCCATGTGATATGTCCAAAACTTGCATAAGGAACAGGCGTGCCTCCCAGTCGTAAGCTATCCCACAAACTGTGACTACAGTCAAGCCAACACTGTTTTGCAAACTTTGCTGCCTCAGTTGTTATGTTTATATATTTCTGTCCTCTGACTGTGACAAGCAGGAGCTTTGTCAGTATGAAAGTTACATTAAAGACATAAAGAGTGTGCGAGTTAGCTGATGTCACAGCAACTTCCAGTTTTAGCAACGTTACTTCAAAAGGAACTCATGCAGCCCTAAAATGGCCTCGCATGCAAAGAAATTCCTTCTGTGAATTTTCCACTTGAGAGAAACTGAATCATCACAAGCTTCACGAGAGCCGTCCAGCTGCTGCGAAGGCTTCAGCACGACGGAGCGCCGCCTCCTCCAGAGTGAGGCTGAGTCATCGTTCCAGAAGTGAGCAGGCATGAGTGCGTCTGCAGGCACAGTGAGGCATCAAGGGACAGCAGAGAAGCCTCACAGTTCAAGGAATCTGCAGGAAGTTCAAGGGGTAGCAGAGGGTTGGTGCACAGTTACTTTCTCTGATGAAGCCAACTTCTGTTTTGGATATCTGGAAAAATCCTTTGTCTGTGGAAAATCCTGAGATTTGTGAGGCACGTTTACAGGTCTAGCCTGCCTCAAACATGGAGCATAAGTGAAAAGTGGCTCAGAGATCATTAGATCAGCATGTTGGATCCATGGTCAGGAAACCAAACCGTGGTGAATGATCAGTTCTTGGAAGCATGTAGACAAGCAGAAGTCCACAAACTGTGAAGAACTTGGAGCACTGATTACTGTCTGGAGGTTCTCTCTCCTGTCAGGTGCAGGTGTGGGCCGGCAGCTGGAGGAGTCTCTGTTTCCCAGGCTTTGCTAATCACACATGCCTTCATTTTCTCAGCAGTGAGCACTGTTTAAAGGTTGGGGTGGGTCTTCCATCTCTGTCAGATTGTTGTCACTACAACAGTGCTAATCGCCCTCATGCTTAGAACAAGCTTTTGTGTCATGCTCTGCTTAACCTTTTGCTCTTATCTGCCTCCAGTAATTTTTCTAATGACCTTCCTCTGTTGCGGACATTCCTCAGTCCAAACCTGTTACTTCAATTTGTTATCATAAATTGTTGTCACAGTAGCTATCAGCTATCCTAGGAATCCTCACCTACAGTGTACCTGCCTGCCCGCTTTCCACAGCTCCTTCTCCCAGTCTCCTCTGGATTCCTCCGTCCCGTCAGGACATCCTCCACAGCCTCTAGATAAAGATAATACCAGCTCCACTTCTTCTTGAAACTAAGTTTGATTCTGAAACCTTCCTGTAACCAGAGAGTTACCTGCACAATCTCCTGCTGCTGTTTCCAGTGTCGTTAACTTCTAAAAACCTGTTAAATAAACCGTTTAGAACTGTTGTTAGTTTCTTTCAGGCCACTCATTTGGTCATTATGGCATTTAGGACTTCCAGAAGCTGTAAACACCGACTCTCTGCACAGAGTTCATTTGAACTGCTCTTTACCAAAGAATGTGAGCTTTGTGTCTGCAACAAATATTATCAAAATGTACATAATACAAGTTCTTCTTTTCTACTACTACTCCACGACATTCTTAATTAGCTATAATAAGGAAGAACAGTAATAATTTACACAGCCTGCCATCTGATGGTTTTAATGCGTCAAGTTCAAAGTCAAGATGAAGACTTCCTGTCCACAGGATTCACCTTTGACCTTTTGTCAAGTTCACAAAAGCATCAGATTCAGAACTTCAGTTTGGCTTCATTTGAATATGTGTTTGCAAGTTTAACCAAATACCTTTCAGCCGTTTGACCATCGGCTAACTTCTTCTTCTTGTACAATAAACGAGTCATGTTCACAGACTCCAACTTCCTCAGAATTAGCAGGAAGCTCTGTGGAGCATGACGAACTGTGCGATTCACTCAGAAAAGACGACGTTTTCCTGTTTGCCTTATTTTCTGCACACTTATTCAAACAAACCCACATTTTAATGACGCAGGAATCCATCCCACATCAGATTTATGACAGCAGCTGGAATCTGTGCAGAGTGCAAAACAAACAGCTCCACAGCTGAGGAATAACTGCACCGCCATTCACACAACCCTACACCACTACAGTTAACCCTGCAGCGGCCGGTGGTGAGATCGTGAAATGAACTCAGCACATCCACTGAAGTACAGTTTAAAGTCCTTGCACTCTGGATGCAGCTACTTTCTCCTTCATGCCATTTGTTTGAAAGCTTTAGTTGCTTCTTATCTGCTAATATACGCTCACAAGATCATTATGTGCACCTCTCTGCCACCAGGCTTGGACCTGCTTTCGTTAGCAGCAGCCATGAGGAGATGCTACACTGTGGTTATAAACACATGGACACAGTCAGCAGCAGCTCAGGTGGGCTGTGGTGTGTAAACGACGCGCAGCTAAGGCGCCCAAGAGTTTCAGTGACTCACCCACGGCATGCACTTCTTTAGCCACAGACGTTAGAGTCACTGACAGATCTTTGCATAAAGCACACAGGAGGACAGAAACTGTTCACAAAGATAAAATCGCTCTCACTCTCTTTCTAACCTGTTCCCACATTAACCGTGAATAATTCTGATCATGTTTCTGCATCGTGACCACTTCATGAAAACTGTTGTTAGTTGGATTATGACTTCCTGTAAACGCGTCTTGCACCACTTTGTTTATTCAACACAAACCACGTTCTTCATGTAACGCATCGGTGCGTGGACGGAGGGACCCACGGTAATCCTGATCACATATTTATTCAGCCGGGAGAAAAACTTCCCAGTGACTCTGCGTGTCCTGTAAGCTCCCAGTATGTGTGGTCATGTGACCTGTGAGCGTCGCGTGTCAGTAATCGGATGATTGACCTGACAACAAATACTCTGCTGCGTCACTGACTTTAATCCGCACCTGCCTCGAGCGAAAGCAGAGAGGGAGTAAAACCGGAAATCCACCCAGATTTCAAAATAAAACGAGAAACTAACTTTATGTTTGACATTTGCTTCTTGATGACATTTTTTATGCTGGAGGAGAAAAAAAAGGCAAAAATAAAACAGATGCAGCAGTTTGCAAAAGCCTGTTTAAGCAACCTATAATAAAATACATCAGTATCCCTCTGACATGTTACAAAAGCAGACACACCTGTTTCTTTAAACTACAAATCAAGAATGTTTTCTTAAATACATCTTTTTTTTTACAAAGCTCAACTTTGTAAATTGCCTGTATGTCTGTTAACTTTATGTGACTTGGTTGCTTATTCGGCGTCTTCTACTTGGAACCTTTTATTTAATCTTTAAAGCTGCAGATTTTGTAGAATATATCTGATAAATCTGATCAAGAATAGCTCAAAGTCCTGAGTAGATAGTCTGATTTGAAAGCACCAAATTTTACTTTCTGTAATTAGCAACAGCTCTGTGCAATCTTCATTGTTACTAGTTTATTTTCAGTCACTTTCTGTTATTTATGCCGTGAAATAAATAAAATATATCTTGTATATGTAAAAGAGATTTTATTATTTAGACTTCTTTTCTCTCCGAGACATTTTTCCCGTTAGGAGCGTTTTCGCTGCGCTTTTATTTTGAAATAATGAACTAGAATTTTTCCTGCAGTCTGTCAGCCTTGACTCGGGGGTTGCTAAGGCATGCGCGCCATAGCAACCGGCTCACCAGTGAAGGAAAAGTGAAGATTTTAATGTTCATGTTGTTTAAACACACGAGGAAGAAGAAAATGATGATGATGATGATGATGATGAAGGGTCCCTTCCAACCTTCGAGACCGGATACAGAAACATCCCAATGAGGTAAAAATGCCAGGAACTAAAGTCATCAAGCCTAAACCAGTCGATACAACGAGGAAAACCCAGGAGAGACCCAAAGCGGCCAAAGAGGCGCAGAGTGAGCTCCGAGTTCCCGCTGTGCGCAAAAGCCGCGCCTCCAGCTGTCCGAGAAACCCGCAGCCTGAGCGGTGCCAAAGACCGACCGGCGGGCCGCAGGGGTCACCCTCCAAACCAGGGAGCGAGAGGAGAACCAGGTCCACCTCCACTGCCCCCAAACCTCCACAGAACGGCTCCAAAGCGAACCGGGACTGCAGGAGGGCCAATCATGCCGCCGTGGAGCCCAAATATCAAAGAGAGGAGCGGACAGTGCGAGCGGAGGCCAAGTACGCAACAAGCCACAGGTGAGATACGTCAGAGGGGCCTCGTGGACACCCAGTGGACCACGTGAATCCATCTGTAACACCACTCACAAACAGCAGTGAAGGGAGAATGGATATGAGAAACGCCTTTATTATTATACTGTAATACCCATCACAGCATCGAAAAATAAAGTTAAACACAACAAACAGATAGAAGTAGCTCAGTAAAATTAAATAGACTACAATAAAGACAAACGAAACACTATTAAAAACATCCTGCTGACTGTAGTAAAAACAGCACAGCAAAAATGTTTTTATGCTCAAAATAATGTTCAGTCCGTCCACAGAGGATGCTGCAGATTTACAGATTTATAGGCTGTATAGAAAAGATGGAGTGAAGTTGAAGCCTAAACAAGAAGCTGCTGGTTGTGCGTGTTGAAAGTGACGCAGAAGTCTGTGGCGTCACCAATGCTCACAGAAACTGTAGAAATCAAAAAATGGAACGATAGTATTTGATATTTTAGCGTCTCCTGTTAAAAACATTAAGAAAATTATTTAGCATGCAGGAAGCGACAGGAAGTTGGGAAGCCTGATTTTTTCCTTTTATTATATTTGAAGCTCTTGGACTTTTGAGAAACGAGCATATTTGTAATAGAAACGCGTAAACACTGATATCAGCCAAATATATCCAAGCAAAACACTTATCATTCATTAAAAGTCAGACGATGGTCTGAACCAAACACAAAAGCAGATTATTTGTGAGGTAATTGTGTTTATTTATGCTTTAAGAGACAACAGCAGCACCAACACAGTCCACAGGTCCAGTTCAGTGAATTGCATTAGTGACAAAGATCACCTGCACAGTGTAAATGAAGGAGGAAGTTATCCATCGAGGCCTCTCTCTGCTGTAAAGCTGGACGTGCAGTCAGCGGGGACTGTGAGAGCCCGCCTTCAGTGGAGATTATCTTGCCACACTGAGCGATGCTGTAAATTTAATAAAAATATGTCAGGATCGCTCCGTCTGTAGCGCAGCTGTGCCAAACATGTCGTATTTAACTGCTTCACACCGAGACTCTGAAGGCAGGAAGTATCATTTTTTTCTGTTACCTCGACGACTTCTATGGTGGGCGGGACTAAGATGGGGTAAAAACTGAGACTTGAGGAGGTGGGACTGTGAATTATGAGATATGAGTGCATTCATATTGTTTTGTATTTAATGCCATTTTTTCTGTTGTCTTATAGAGATGTCTGCTGTCTTTGGAAAAACATTTGGATGTTTGCATAACTTTTATTTAACAGTTCTACTTTTTCTTTTTTTTTAATTCTGAGATAGTAGAAATAATTTAGCATGAATCTGGAAGTTTTCATTTATTGAATCAGGACAATGAATCTCCCCTCAGATTTAAAATAGCTGCTTGCGTACGCTGAATGTTTGAGTTTCTCTCTCCGAGGCTGCGTGCAGGTCAGCGTTTGGAGGGGAAGGCGTTCACGTGTAGTCCTGCAGTAAAGTTTCACGCAGCCATCTGGTGCAGCAGGTTAATCCCTGCATGTTTTACCACCAACTGCACGACAGTGCTGCAGGTGAACTGCTGCATGTCCGAGTCACAGCAGCACACAGTGTGGCCGGCTGTCAGATTTGGGGTTTCGATTTGAAGCACAAAGAAGACTCGAGTTGTTCAAATATGCTATTTTTACACCTGGCAGGAAACGTTCCCAACATCTCCACAGGAGTTTGTTGCTTTTCTCTCTGGATTAAAAAAACATTCACATATTTGTTTTCATCTTTTTCTCCTATCAGCTTAAATATAACAGCTTCTAAATCCAAGGTAACACCTCATTTGTAGGGTCTTCCTCCCACTGCTTTCCAGCTGTGTACCACATCTGTGCATCTTTGATTGTAGCACCTCCTGCAGCCTCCTCTGGCTCCTCATTTCTCTTTCCTTTAGAGGCAATTTAAGAATTAAAAGAATCCATCAAGACAGCGTACAGAGAGAGCAGGACACAGACAGGTCATGCTTGGAGAAATTCATTTCTTTCCAGAGGGGCTCAGATTAGAGCTGCAGCTGATGTTTTATGGATTCTTTTTGATTATTTAATCCTTTATTTAAACAGGTCGTCTCATTGGGATCACTTCAGTCTGGTGTTTGGGTTTTTTATTTCCTTGTTTGGTTTTAGTTTCAGCTCTAGTTCTGCTCTTGGTTTCACTTTGGCTTGTGTTTTGTTCGCGCCTCCGTTGTGTTTCCGTGTCTGGCTGTTTG